CAGTAGTGAGGTATGAAACCATCAACCACCCATGGAAAGATCTAACAAAACCTAAAAAAATTAGTTAAAAATAATCACTCTTTAACATGCTTTAACAAACTTACCTACTTACCCATATCTATTAAATCTAGGCTTGGGAAAACATGGGAATGTATATAGTAATTTTATCCTGTCTCAAAATCCCTCACAAGCAAGCTTATACCAGGAAGCATCTTAATACTGTATTTTAGCTTAAACCTTGCACTTTATAATCTATGAATTCCCAAATAGCAGCAAGCAGCCAATTTATCTAATATCTACTCATACACACATTCCCAAACCATATTTTTTTTTGAGAGAGAAAAAATTACAGAAATATCAATGTACTCAAATCTCATTTATTCACACCAAGCAGACTTATCTGATTATCTCTCAAGAGTCAGGCAGACCTTAACATGACCTATAAAAAGCCTCTTTTTTTGAGTCTGGGTTCATTTCCCTTCCCCATACTAGTCTAATCATTCTAGTCTTTCTACAAAGTTCACTAAACATAACTAAGGATTAACAGTAACTCTACAACTATTCTAAAGACACGAAAGATACAGCTAAACAAAATACCCTAAACCAATCCCCTCAGACATCCCATCACATATTCATTTTAGCCTTTCTTAAAAACGCAAGGGCTGGCAACCTGACTGCATTCAAGTATTTTAAGAGAGAACCTTTCAGGCATTCCCTCAACTTCTGCTGCTGATAAGGAGGGAGAGTTGGAGAGTTTCAGTTCAGCAGAACAGGTGGAGAGAAATTTGCTTTTTTTATTCTTGAAAAAGAAAGAAAATCTCATTAGCGTTCAGGGGACAGAGGATCTCACAGCCTTTGGCTGAACACCCGTATTTCTTTGAATATTAAAATGCATTTCTTCTGAGGCCTGTGAAAAATTTAATGTGTAAAAAAACCAACTCAAAACCCACAATGGGCATAGCTCAGCCTTCTGAAAAGGAACGCTGCTGAGGGGCCAGCACCTCACACAGCAGCAGCACTGGGAAACCCGGGCTCCAGCCCACACCTGCTGAAACCAGGCATCACCACAACGGGGCCGGGCACCCTCCCTGCACCAAATGAACACTTCCAGCACAGAATGGACCTCTTTTTGCCCATGGAAACCTAAAACAGACGGGACTTCTTGTGACAGATTGTTCAGGGAAACCAAGGAAGAACTGTGTGTCTGATCTGGGACTACACAAGTTATCAACAAATAATCTACAAACTCTAGATAAAAGGAGACTCGTTGAGATCCAGCCATACAAACATAGCAAAACCTTGGAAGATTATAAATTATAATAATGCCCCCAACTCTGTTGTTATCAGGAATTAACTTGAATTCCTTCATTCACGACTGAAAAGCTACAAAATGGGATGCTCTAGTTTGCAAGGACATGGGGGTTTGACGCAGGATCTACCCCTGTGTATGTCTTGTAGTCACTGTTGAGAGCAGGTGATCGCAATCACTCCAAGCCTCACTGAAATCCCATTTTGAGTTCAAAATGCAAATCAGATCCAGTGTTGTTTGTTTGAATGAAACTGGTATGAACAACAGAATATTTAATAATGCTGAAGGGAGAAGACTTAACAGTAAGTGCTATACTAGATGATTAGAATAAGTAGTATTTGTGACTCTACAACAGAAAACAACATTTTTCTTAGCTTTATCTGGTCTGTTGCATTCCAGACTACAGAAAGCAGCTTGGGGCAGGTGAAAAGGAAAAAACAAACAATACTATTCTTGTGGGGTTTGAATTTTTTTTTTCATATTGGTACAGAATTTCTAACTCTTCAATAGTAATTCCATTGCCAACTCTCAGCACTACCCAAAACTCATCACATTGCTTTCCACTCCAGGTAACTAGAACTCTTATTTTCACTAAATCAGTCCTGAAATCCCAATGAACTGAGATGATAATCCTGTTTCAGATTTTAATTTGAAATTAAAGAAAAAATAAAAAGCCTTTTTTTGGTTTGGTTGGTTTTGGGGGTTTTTTTTGTTTTTTTGTTTTTTGTTTGTTTTTTAACTTAAAGGCAGGAGATGATTCTGGGCAATGAACAGAATTAGCTGATGTAACCTGGTGAGAGCATCCACTGTGAGAAGACTTTTGCACGAGAGTGGGACAGAAATAAGACATCAAGGAGCACTCAGAAATGGAAAAAAAACATTCTTCAACTTCTCTCTCTCAATGAGAGACAGAAAAAGCAGCACCATGGGGGATATTAGAAGGATGCAACAGAAACAAACTAAGGACACAGGGAAGCTGTTAAGTCAGCCTTAAAATAGAAGTTAACTTTCATTTCTCTAGGGATTTTTACAGCACACACTTCAGTGTCTTAAAAAAAAAAGGAAAGAAGCATCAATCTGAATACATCTTGCTGAAGTGCTTTAAATATATAACACTTAAAGGGAAAACCCAAGAACATTATTAAAAAAAAGAAAATCTGAACCTCTCACGGCACCATCATCTCAGCAAGTGTTTAGTTCCACCTATCCCCTCCCAGAAGATGTGTTTTGCAAATCCTGAGCCCAGTTGCCAAAGAGACCAAGAAGGAGAAAGTTCATTTGGGTGAAAAAAGCAAGTTTTGGGTTTCTGCTATCTTTGCATACTTCCCAGAAAGCCAATCACTTAAAAGTGGGACTCGAAATTTCTTTGAAGATTTTGAAGTAATTTTTTTCTTTTTTTAATGAAGTGATTTCAGAAAAATGCAGCAACTCCTATAGCTGCTCTTCCAATTTAAATACATTTTGAGCCAATCTACAAACAAAACACCACTCGGGTTTTGTTGTATTTGAAGGTTCACTTTGTGAATTTTCTCTACTGACGGCAATAAAACCACTCTGGTTGTTTAAAACAAATCCTAGCCAACATTTTCAGGGAATCAGTAGAGATAAGCCCCTACGCAGACGGCGGCACAGCCCTCTGGAGTGTCAGCCAGTCCTCCCAGTTTGGTGTCAAACTTGCTGAGGATATAATCTGTCCCCTCGTCCAGGTCACTGATGAATATGTTGAACAGGACTGGGCTGAGTATTGACCCCTGAGGGACACCACTGGTCACAGATCTCCAGCTTGCCCCTGCTCCATTAATGACAACCCTCTGAGTTCTGTCACACAGCCAGAACTCAATCCACCTCACTGCCCCCTCATCCAGCCCATGCTTCCTTAATTTTCTAATGAGGATGTTATGGGAGACAGTGTCAAAAGCCTTTCTGAAGTCAAGGTAGATGACATCTGCTGCTCTCCCCTCATCCAGCCATCTAGTTATAACATCATAAAAGGCTATCAGATCGGTTGAGCATGATTTACCCTTGGTAAATCTGTGTTGACCACTTCCAATAACTTCTTTATCTTCAGTATATTTGAAGATGGCATCCGGAACAAGTGGTTCCATTTTGACACAGTCAATTAACTAATGGACTCCTCCTGTTACAAGCGTTTAACATAGGGAAGGTTAGAAGGACATGACGTCAGCTCACTGAGGACACCACCAAACCATGGGCCATGTAGGATGTCACTGGACACCACACAAACCCGGCTGAATGGGAACATCAAAGTGATGCCAAAGCCCAAGGGTTCCAGTTTCCCAAACCAGACGCTTTGGTGACAGTCACCCAAGGCTTGGTGGGGACAGAGAAGGGCTGCAGTGGCTTGTCCCTAATCTGTCACTTCTGACAACACACGGCTCCCATGGCTGCTGGGGACACGCAGGGAAATGTCACCGGCTGCGGGGACAGCAGCGGGCAGGAGGTGAGCTGCCAGAAGAGCAACTCTGAAAGACACGAAGGGAGGATAAACATGGCAGCTTCCTCTTAGTTTGGCAATTGTCCTCTGCAGCATCGCTCACAGAGCAGGACGCCTGACAAGCATATTTGTTATGCCAACAGGGCAATTTAACACAGCTTTGATGCTGTGCAGCCACACAGCAGAACTCAATCTCCTTGGAAGCACTCTCTATAAATAGTTTCAGGTAACTTGGCAAAGTTGAAGGCAAACAAAGTATCTAAACAATACAACTTATATAAACAAAATATTTCTTTTGACTTAATTCTATGCAAACAATATTAATATATACAAATTAACAGATAAACGGCGTTTTCTCAAAACACTACATGGCAATTAAAGAGAAAACACCTCCAACAAAAGATTCTTTTTTAAATATTTTTTGTTAATTTCTCCACTGTGAATTATTTTTTAACATCTTCCTGTGCAAACACCTACAGACTGCTCATTCTCTGAGAGGGACAGTCCCACATCTGATGGAACACGAAGCGTTAGTTGCCACCATATTTCTCTTTCCACCCACCATGAACTTCCATCAAGTTCTGTTCCCTTCCCGAATGCACCCAGCAGAGCTGCACAGGAGGAGTGAGGAGACGCCCTCACCTGAAAGATCGTGTGATAAAGGGAATTACCCAAAGGTAGATCCAAGCCTAGTCACGGAGACAATTAGTGCTGTCACATTCCTGTACCTTTCGCCCATACACTAATAGCATAATGCCCCTTTAAAGAAGGGAAAAACACCACATGAAGTTGCTTTCATCTTTACACACAAAGCCAAAAGAAACATTATGGAAACACTCGTCCAAACATTTAGCCAAAAATTGTATGCAACCTGTCACCCTGCCCCCAGCCCAAAAATCCACAGCTATTACCAAATAAGAACCTGAAAAACCATGTGAAATGTTATTTACCACTGCCGACCAAATCACTACCCAGAAACGCCAGGAAAATCATTCTCTAATTAAAAGAGGCCTTCTATAGTCTTAATGTGTTACTAATCAGATGAGAGGTCAGTTTAAATTGCTTGCTCTGTCTGCCTTTTAACGACAATGATACATTTTCCATTTCCTATTTAATGAAACGCTCAGTTTTTGTTTGCTGAGGGTTCATATTTGACCTTCCAGGAAAACAGGTGGTTTAGAAATATACAAAAATAAAAACCTTAAAATCAAGTAGTCCAGGGAACAACGTACGTACTTGGGATGCCGGATGTCTGGCAGGGATCGCTCCAGCGCAATGTTGTTGCTAACGAAGATGTTGAAGCCATTTTCCCTGTAAGCAGAGTCATCGTGGTCTTCTTCTGTAAGAGGGTACGGCTTTCCGTGCTCCCCCTTCCCTGCAACCAAACAAAACAGTTATTTCCATCAAACTGATAGCACAAAATGGACTAAAAATCAGTCAGGCTGAACTCCAATGGGTACCCTGTGCCTGGAACATCGCTAAGGGATTGCTTGCCGTGTCTTCAGGACACTCCCGTTACTGCTGACAGAGAAATACAAAGTAGGTACAAATAACAGGACTCAAAAGTCCCTCTGAATTCACCCAGTTCATCCAGCTTTCGATCTTTCCAGAGACACGATCAGCTTAAAGCCATTATATAGATAAAAATTTAAATTGTAAATTAAGATAAGATCTTTTTGCATAAGAATCCCACTTTCACAGCAAAATTATGAACAAACAGATCAATTCCGGCAATATTTGGTTCAATTGATACAAAGAACCCAGTCATACAGTTGCCCTACACCCCAGCCCTCCTCCCTACCCACTGTTTCCAAGGCACCTCCAGCCCCGGGCTCAGGGTGCCCCGCTCTCCAGGACACTGGGAAGGACACCAAGCGTTTTGCTGGGGGCTCCTCAAACCCTTGCACTCCAAGGGAGCAGCCAGATGCACTCAGAGCTCCTGATTTGGTATCAGAAACAGGTCACTTTGGCTCCCTAAAGAAACCACCTGCTCATTCCCTGACAATGCACAGAGTTTCCACTCCAGCTTTTCATTCCCAAGTTAGTTCCCACCATCGGTTCCTCAGCTGGCCCAGTACCTGCCTCCAGCAGCTGCACCTCCATCCCTTCCAGCCGGCAGCAAACACAGCCACTTCAAAGGAAAAGGGAACATGAAAGCCTTCCTTCTTCTCAACTATTTTTAGCCTTCTCCTTCTCGCAGAGGACGAACCCTCCAGAGCTCCTAAGCCCTTCATGCCTACTCAGGTTCTCAAGGAGCTACCCTTTCCTCCACATCTAACTGATCAGCGTAGAGCCTCTCTGTCCCTCTCCCTCCAGGCCCCCGCCTGAGAAAATGCCTCCTCTTCCCTGAGCTCTTCAGAGAAATGACCCCGCTCCCAGGTGGCTGTGATAAGGGCCACCTGATGCCCAGCTAACGAGGAGCAGCTGCGGGAGGGGTGACGAGGAAAGACCACCAGCTGGGAGAAACAGCCACCAGTACCCTACGAGCATCGAGCGATGCTCTACTTCGTATCGTACGCACACAAAAAGTTACAAACACAGAATATGCAATTATAGGTAGTGGAGTTACTGAATTTTAGAAATTTTTGCAGATAAAATAATAAATTTTTATCCCAAACTGTGCACATGTAATTACAACTTCATTTAAATTCTTAACAAAAATAATTAGTGTTACTTACAAGAGGAAAAGTTAGTTTGTGTTGTGAAACACTTTGTTTACGCTTTTTTCTAGCGGCTATCCTGTCAGTTTTATTTTCAAACATCCCCAACATGCATATAACAGTAACACAATACAAAATCCGAGACTAAGATTCTACGGGTGTCTTCATGATTTCATACCACATATGGGGGAACTATGTTGCTGCAGAAGCAGCTGCCGAGTCAGAGCACTGCTCGAAATGCCACGGTACACTTACATCAGATCTGCTTCAGAACACAGTACCAATAAGCTGATGTAATCCTGCCCCCAAGAAACAGGAGTTTCAGCCCCTCTCTTTCAGCACATATTCTAAGTACACCCAAAGCACTTATTTTAATTTGCCTTTACTAAGAGATGTATCCAGGTGCTTACTGATATAATAGAAATTCCAGAATAAAGTACCTGTATGATAAGACACACTATTGCTAATAGCTGTCTTTTATAATAACTGTAAAAAATACATCTATTTCAGCTATTCACCCAGTATAAAGAAAAGCAGCTTCTTTGCTTTTCCTAAAGGAGTCCATTTTGGCAGGTGAGTATTTTTGATACTATTGCAGTTCCTAGAGAAACTGAGAGCAACCTCCCAACCTTTCCTCCCTGACCAGGGAGCCCCACGGCTGGGCATGAGCCCAAAACCCAGACATGGTGGTTCCTACCTGGAAGGGCTGGGACAGGCTGAACTCCCTCCCGCCGGGGTGACCAGCTGCAGTCCATACATTGCTTTTGCCCTTACACGGGGAGCTGGGCCATGAGGAGAGGTGAAGCAAGACCCTTTCCTAAAGCTGTATTAAAATATCCACATACAGCATTAACAGAAGATTTAACATGGGGCTTTATGAACCCCATGGACATTTCTCCCAACTTTCTCGTTTGCTTGTTCTCCTTCACCCCGCAGCTCCCCCCGGTTAGCCAGGGCTCAGGTGGGCATCTACCTCATCCAGCTGAAAGTCGTTGGCTACTTTCTCTGAAAGAGCTCAGGTGAGAAGGCCCCATTTCTTATGAGTGACCTTGGGAGGAGAGAAACAGAGCGCTTATAAGATAAGGATTAAAAAAAAAAAGAGTATAACTTTGGATAATCCACCGGCCTGATGGGTTTTGAACTGAAAATTTCCATGTATGATGTGAGTCTCCTTGGCATTAGAAATGATCACAAGCACATTAAAACCCTCTTCTGTCACTGCTTTCCTAGGTGGCTGATGGAAACTGCCATCGCTCACACTGCTTTGGAGCTGGCTATCCACAAGTTTACCTAAAATGCCAGGGTGACAAAAGGAAACTTCCCAATGCAACAAAGACTAAAATTCTGGTGACAGAGAGCACGGAGGAGTTTAATGTCCCGTTACTGGCCAGAGGAGGCTACTTTGAACCATCACTGAACAGATATAAACCCTCCTGCTCTGTTTGCTCTGCCTCAGGGAAAAACAGCAATTCAAAAAGCACATCAGGGCAATAAAGTATTGTGGGGAAGAGAGAGAGAAAAAGCCCAACGGTGGATTTTTGGCCTCTTTGGATGTAAAAGGGGGCTCACCCAAAAGTGATGGATAAACCTGACCCAGCTCTAAGTACTGATAATGACTCCCTCTGAGGTTGGTTTACAACTGCAGCATAAACAACCCCAGAACCTAAGGACAATCAGAAGTTTTAGTGCAGTTACTTGGATTTTGATTTTTCAAGGTGGGGGGGGGGGGGG